AGGGTAGTGAGGCGGCGCCGGGGGTGAGACGGGTCTGAGAAGCCTTAGGGAGCCCCTCTAGGTTCTCGAGCGGAGGCGGGAGTGACCCTGGAATCCCAGGCTCTCAGAGGCAGAAGGGAAGTCCCAGGCCCCCGGACCCAGCTCTTGGCCCACTTTTGAGGACCACGACCCTGGAAAGGAGCCCCCACACACCTTGTGGGCATGGGCATCCCCAGGAAAGGAGACCCCACCCTGTCCTGTGGGCGCCTGCCCGCCTCCCCCGCCTGTGGCCAGACGGGCTGATCCGGGAGGTGGCTCATCAGCTTCACCTGCTTGGCCTGTGCGCCTCCCTGAGAGCGGCCCCATCTGCAGGCAGAGAATGAGGCATCTGGTTGTGGCCCCGGGTCCTCCCAGTTCCTCAGGCTCAGACTCCTGGGCCCCGGCTCAGCAGGCCAAGGGCTGTGCGCTCTGAAAGAAGAGTGAGGCAGACAGAGTTGGTCAGCTCAGAATTCTGCATCCTTTCATTTAACCCTCCTGCTGCTGGCGAGCCAAGGCTTGTCGCCCTTTGAAAGAGGAAGCTGATTCCGAGAGAGGCAGTGAGGTGGAGCAGGGAGTGGACCAGGGTCCGCCTCCCGATCTCCCTGCTCCCACAGCCGCCTGGGCCTCTACGCACCAGGCCTGTGTGAAGGGGGCCAGGCGGGGGCTGGTGAGATGTGGCCAAGAAGAGCATGTGGTGGGTTTTACGTGAAATACGTGGTGTGGGAGGCCATCCCCATCCTCCCAGGAGCGCCCTGCCAGGGGAGTCTCCCTCATGCCGCTGCGCCAGCGACTGCAGGCAGCAGGTCAGCACATGGCGGCCTGTAGTCAGCGCGCCCTGTGCCTCCCTCGGAACAGAGCGCACAGATTGGTCTGGAGAACGCCTGGCCCCAGCGGGGTGCCCTGCCTTTCCAGCCGCCTCTCTCCAGCTCCTGAGCAAGATGAGGGAGAGGATGTCGGGCTGAGGGGCTCACCTGTAGGCCCAGACCCACGCGAGCCAACCAGAGAGCCGTGGTCAGGAGCCGTGGGGGCTCTGGCGTCAGCACGCCTGGGTTTGAGTCCAGCTCTGTCCCTAGTGAGCGGTTTACAAGTGACTTACTCCATCCTCGGGATTGTAGTAATACTGGTGTCATGAGTTGTGAAGTTTCAAGGAACTACAGTCATTCACCACTTCCCAACAGGGATACAGTGTGAGAAAGGCGTTCGGCCAGTGTGGGAACATCATACAGTGCACTCACACCCCCCGCATGGCACGGCCCACCCACACTGGGCTCCGTGGGACAGGCTGCTCCTGGCTTCAACCTGCACAGCGCGTTCCTGCACAAAACACGGGACTCACACAGGCACAGGAGGAAATGACGCGGTGAACACGGGCGCACGGGGCTGCCAGCCTAACATGGCATACTGTCACTCAGCAAGCCTTGCTTACAAGTAGAAGAGCACAGTCTCAAATCACGATAAAAGCATAGCACAGTAAGTGCACACACCTGTAATATAGTCATTATCATTAAACACCACGCACTGTACATGATTGTATGTGCTATGCTTTCTAAAAATATACATATATTTTTATTGATTTCAGAGAGAAAGGGAGAGGGAGAGAGAGAGAAACATCAATGATGAGAGAGAATCATGGATTGGCTGCCTCCTGCACGCCCCGTGCTAGGGATCGAGCCCACAACCCAGGCATGTGCCCTTGACCGGAATTGAACCCGGGACCCTTCAGTCTGCAGGCTGACACTCTATCCACTGAGCCACACCGGCCAGGGCTGTATGTGCTGCACTATCATGACTGGCAAGGCAGCAGGTTTGTTCACACCAGCATCACCGCACACACATACATAATGCGTGCACCATGGCGTTTCCACGGCTACAGTGTCACAGGCAACAGGAATTTTCAGTCCGTTATAACCTCACGGGACCACCGTCACATGCGGCCCATCACAGAATGAAACGTTGTTCTGTGGTGCATGACTGTACGTGTAAACCTTGGAGCAGCGCCTGGCACACAGTGTAACTGTCAGAAGACATCAACCTCCTTGTTGCTCTGCACCTGGGACACAAACCACGGGGTGCGGAACCCATCCCTGTAGTTAAAGGTGTTGGAGCACCAACAGGGCAAGGTCACCGATGGACCGAGACCACCTCCCAGCCCCATGCGTGGGGCCACGAGTGCGGAGACTGGTGCCGGCAAAGCCAGTCCCTCCGAAGGGAGCACTGTGCACAGGTGCTCCATGTGAGACTGGGTCAGGTGCTCACCTGTTGCCATGTGAAAAGCTGTTTGGCTCAGTGGATAGAGCATCGACCTGCGGGCCAAAGGGTCCCGGGTTCGATTCCAGTCAAGGGCACGTACCTTGGTTGCAGGCTCCTCCCCTGCCTGGTCAGGGCTCGTGCAGGAGGCAACCAATGGATGTGTTTCTCTCACATCGATGCTTCTCTTGGTCTTTCCCTCTTTTCCACTCTCCCTAAAAATCAATGGAAAAATATCCTTAGGTGAGGATTAAAAAAAAAAAGTGGGTCATGTTGCCACATCTTTGCATTTTTCCAAAGAAGTAGGGCATGTGGGTGTGTATGAAATGTGCTGATTTTAAAATGTGGCGATTAACTCAGTTTAAAACAAAACAAAACTGCGAAGGCCAAATTAAACTCCTCTGTGAGCCTGCAAGGCCCAGCTCTCCTATAGACCCTCTGTCCCGGGCCGGGTCGGGCTTTCACAGAGAGACAGTGAGGGCTGCACCCGCCCCAAGTCTCCCTGGTCCCCAGTTGCCCTGCTCCCACCTGCCTCGCGGAGTGAGGGGTGAGAGGGGGTGCCTGGGCGTGCACGGGGCTGTGCAGCGGAGGCCAGCAGTGGGGGCTCTGCACAAGTTTGCCCGTCGGTCCTGCCGGGAACTGACCCGGAGACAGATGATGGGCGATGCATGGAGACAGTGCCTGGCTCCGGTCCCTGCACGGAGCGCGGGGCAGGCACTGTCCTAGGTGCTGGGAGGCAGCAGTGAGGACCAGAGGCCCGTCCCTGCCCTGGCGGGGCCGACAGGAATGTGAGTGCGCAGTCGGGCCAGGCAGAGGCAGGTGGACACACAGACCTTCTGCCAGGGGTGCTGCGCGCTGTGGGAAGCAGAGGCAGGTCAGGGGGCCCGGAGGGCAAAGGCCCTGAGGCGAGAGTGAGGAAGCGGAGGTGATGGGAGCCAGGGATAAGATGGAGACAAGCCCCGGTGAGGAGGGAGGCAGGCGGCACGGTCGGACGGATGGACGGACGGACGGAGCGGAGGCTGGTGGCCACTCAGTGAGGAAGCGGAGGTGATGGGAGCCAGGGATAAGATGGAGACAAGCCCGGTGAGGAGGGAGGCAGGCGGCACGGTCGGACTGACGGACGGATGGAGCGGAGGCTGGTGGCCACTCTCCGAACCCAGACACAGGCCCAGGGGAGCTACTTCTGACGTACAGTTTGCCGTCGTCCGCCCCCCCCCCTCACACCTGCACAGACAGCCCTTTCCCTGCAATCCTTCGTGTAACACACTCCGTCAAGCTTCCTGAGGGCAGAAAGCCGGACTCCTGTTCCCACCTGGCTCCCACGTGCCCAGGAATGACAGGCTCCGTATACGAATGTGTCCACTGGACGTAGCGGCATGGCCCTCAGCACCTACCCCGCTCCTCACGCCCCGGTGTCCTCTCCCGGGAACGGGGTGATGTGCTGTCCTGCCCCCGGGGCTGTGAGGACATGGGGTGAAGGATATAAAAACGGGGAGCCCAGATCGCCTGGGCCTGGGAGGCCACCGCGTCCCGGGTTTGTGAAGGTTTCTTTTGTTCGGAGCTGGGTGTCCCCTGAGCTACGGGGAAAGGGCCTTGGCCTCCGAGGTCAGGGGCTCCCAGGACTCTCCTCCCTGCGGGCGGCACTGGCCGGCGCGGGGCCAGGGCTCAGGCTGCTGGTCCCCGAACTCCTGCTGCCACGACTTTCTATTCCATTTAAACCGTTTCTAGTCCAGAGGGTCCTCTCCCAGCTCCTCCCCGCCACCCCCTGCACCCACCCACCGCCCAGGAACCGGGCCCAT